TTGAAGTAGGCCTATTTACATTATCTAAAAAACAACGAATAATAATGAAGGATATTCGTTGTGTTAAATGGAAGAAATACGATAAATATGTACTAGAAAAATAGTTTTCAATTAATATTAAAACTATGGAGACTGTTAAGCATTTACTTTCAAGCAAGGAGTTTCAGATTAATTTAACCCAACGTGCATGACAAGAGTGGTTATGTGTCAACACAACTCCTATGAATGTGCGCAAAATGGATTTGCTGTGATAATTGGAGCTAATTTGCACACATTTACGTGTGTTTGTAACATTTTGTAACATGTTTGAGCTTTTTCTTTGCAGCATTCAGAAGATCTAGCCAGTCTACGAGTCAACAACATAGTTAATGTTAAAGAATAGTAACGTAACACCCAACGAATATTTGGTGTTTCTTTTGTTTAATATTATTTGTAGTAACGCATACGTTTAACTAACTAAATAGAAATGAATTACCAATTGGTTTTCAATAAAATGAATTGCTGATTTGATTCGTTTCTGGTGTGTGGCTATTTGAGATTTGGTGTGAATATTGCATAATCAGGAAATACGTAACTGTTTTTGCATCATTTCCTCGTAGATATCTTGGAAAAACGAAGACGCAAAAGAGATAATCACTTCAGGGAAGTGTTTAGGAAAAAAATGTACATGATTAAAATAAAATAAATTATTATCTTCGTAGACAAAGATAAGTGATTAGTTGTCCATAAATATTTGGTGAAAGTCGTTTGCGACCATGGCATGCTGTGACCAACATGGAACTATCAAAGGCTACTGATTGTTCCTGGGGTTAAACTGATGACCTAATTACTGGACCAGCTAGCTATATACCAACGTATCTGGTTTAGGATTTTAGCTGGAGGAACGTGATTAAGTTAAATGAAGGTATGCCTATAATAATAAACGTTATGTCAAAGGAAAGTTTAATCGAATATTATAATTAGCTGGGTTATTGTTTGAAATACCTTTATTTTCTGAATGTTAAGTAGTCATGATTTAAAACTTGTGTAGTCATATTTCAATTACTGTATAAGTTGTACTGTATAACTACGGAGTTGGGTTCTGTAACTTGATTTCCCAGATTTTCTCGTCTAAGGGCCTTTCTTCATCACGTACGCATATTTATACAAGTATTTTATACTGTGCACAAAAACTTGTATAGTTTTGGTATATCATGTATTCAAATAGCATTTAAAATATGTTGTAGTTTTTCATTGGGTCCTGTCTTGTTTAAAACATTTTATTGTTTTGATCATTTTCGGACAAACGATTTTTCTGAAACTAACACTGGAATCCATACGAGATTTTTCCTGTATGCTTGTATATAACTGTAATTCATCGAATTACAATTAATTTATACACAATAATATTGTATTGACTTTTGTTTTATTATAACTACGGTACTGATTATATCTTGAATTTGTTTATATTATTTTTTTTACATTGCAAGGAGTTTACAAGGACCAAATTGACGTGGTGACTGTATTGTATGCTGCATTACGTTATTATATGATGCATACTTTACTTCCGAACGCTTAGAAAAAAAATAAACATATTTTCTACGGTTCGTTTTGGAATGGAAATATTATTCTAAAACAATCATCAGCGAAATTTCATAGATTTAAATATTTTATATCAATGTGTCAAACATATTTGTTGGTCAATTTGTGATAAAGATCAGGAACCTCACTCTGAGGATGTTTAGTATTCGGTTGCTGGTTTTCAGGGTTGAAGCCAGGGGAGTTTATATCTGAATATTTAAGATTTCCAAGGAACATTCAATGCACTAGTGCTGGGGTTTCTTGGTTGTTTTGCTGCGTTTTCTTCACCAATGACTCGTTAAGTTAAGAAACGTTTCAACCTCTTGAATTGTATTCATTTCACTTTTACTTTTTGTTAGCATTATTAACTGATATTTGAATGACAAAAGTCATCTGGGTCTAAAGCTATCCCAGTTTAGTGATAGAACCAGCGGACTTTTTCTAATTAACTCTAGCTTTTACACAACTAAACCGAAGGTAAACACCATAAACGATAGTCTGTCTGTTTCTGTTGAAGAACATTTGCAATAATAAATTAATTTCTGATAAGAACTATACGTACTGTAAATATTACATGAATATAGCAAATTAAATACGTCTTCCCACATTATTCGATTTATCTATACTTTTACTTTGTACATTGACATAAGTTTATTTAAAAAAATACCAATGGCAAATGTTTAACTCCAATATAAAATGTTAAGGAGGTGGAGCTGGTCTAGTAGTTAGAACATGGGACTTCGATCCCTGTGTTCCCGGGATCAAATCACACCAATCACCAATTTGTTTTATCTAAGTGACAATGCCGCAACCCCTAGGTCTAGCATGAAATAATGTGAAAAAAAATCCCAGGCTCGTTCCTAGCATCCTAGGAAAAGAATGATACGTATGTTACATACTTACCACCTTGTAATTATTTACAGTAAAAGTGTAAGAATATCAAGTAGTGTTGGTTAACTAATTATATATATTTTTCTTTCGTAATAATGTTAGAATACTGCAACATGATTGTCTACTGTTTTAAATTGATTTTTCTTATATTTCTTATCTTCAAAAACACGAGATGTTTACAACAGTAATAAATTACAATGGTTCTTTATACCAAAACACAAAGCAGTCATGGCTGTGTCATCTGTTGCTAAGACAGGAGGATATGTCATGTGTCTTACTTACTGTTGATAAGGACTTACGTTTCCCATGACTAAGTAAGAAAACATATCTCCATACACGCTTTTGTTTGTTTCTTTGAGAAAAAAGCTTTGTGTATGAGCTCAATTCTAATATTATGCTTCGTGCAGTTACCACTCGTTAACGTCATAATAAATTTGTATTAAATTTATAAATACCATGTTAAATTAAATGAACAAAGTCATTTTGCATTGAATAAACGACTGTAATTATACAGGTTTCATATTTAATTTAATGAACAGCTAGTATTGGATGAATTAAACTATTTCGTTATAAATACACGTACAAATTTGTGCTAGTTTGTGTTAGTACCGTACGGGAACTTCTAACGATGAATTTTATGCAACTCTTCTCTCCGCAATAAGTATGATTTAAAATGTATAATTAGTTACAGTACTATCTAAATTCATTTAATTGTATTGTCTTGACACTTATAATTATGAATAATTAGTTTTAAGATACCACAAAAATGGATAGCTTCTTTTTGGTAACGTCAACTAAATTTTTAAACCGTCATCAAAATGTATCAATGGTGAAAGTATATCTCTAAGGTTGATTAAATTGTCTAGTTTGTAAGTAAAAGCTGCGTATGCAACTTTGATTAGTATAATTGCAACAGTAAATGAATTTCTAACTTCTAAAGACACAGCTACCTTTCAAATATCTTGATATCAATATATGCTATAATTATTTTCAATTTATTTTAGGTACTCTAATTGTACAAATAAGTTTTATAGTTATTGATTATAACAATACCCTAGTTAATCTCTACAAACATAACAATCGATATTTAACATTTCACAGCCCTTTTCAAAGTATCATTTATCTAGGTGACTTACAATGTGACTTACACTTCGTTTTGATTTATATCCAAGTTATTCCAAAAAATTCCAGATTATATTATTCTTTAAAACATATATTTCCGTTTTCATTAAATTTGTCTTTTTGTTTGGTAAAACATAATAATTTAGCAAGTAGTGTGTTTTTTACGTTTTATCTTGGCTTACCTTTTTATCTTTTATATTGATTGATCTAGTTGATTTAGTATTGATTTTGAAGAACAAGAGACATAAAATATTACGGTTATTTTACGTACTCGGTGAAATGTAATCCAAACTTATCTGTATGTTTCCCATTTTACAATGGATTGTAGACAAACTCAAAAAAATTAAACAAAAGAAATTTTGATTATTTAAAAACACATACAAAGTTTGTAATAAACCCTTAAATGAAGGAATTGTGAAAGCAAAATCTAGGTTTACATTGTTTTGTAGAAATAAACCTTTATATCTCCGAGAGGTGGTAAGTGCTAGGCCTTCGGCCAAATGTAAGTGTTAAGCCCCAGGCAGTTTTAGACAATACCTCGTTTACTAAAATAACACTTTTCACAATAGCTACCTAGTAGAGTGTTTATACTTCTGTTAACAATTCCTTTACAGTGTTGTTTAGGATTTTATTCTGTGACCTAAACCGTTATACAAATATTTTATATTCTACAATATAATAGGTAATTAAAATACGTGCACTTTACCTACGAAGAAATTATTATACAAGTGTTAAAACTGGGAGCTTTCACAACATTTGAATTTGAACAGTCATCAAACTCGTTTTGATAAAAAAAGAACCATAACACAAACTATAACCGATGCTTGAGACTGTAATCATGATTGTGTTGAACTACATATATTGTCAACATATGTGAAGAGGTATTCATATAGTATTTTCAATTCACAGATACAAATATTTACTATAGTAAGTAAGCTATGTAGTTACATACTGTCAAGGTTTCGTTTAAAACAAAAGAATGAGTATGTTTGGCTAAGATATTTCTGCTTAATTTGTTAAAAAAAATTTCGAAAAACATTTAAATAAATAAATTATTTATTTTTATTGGCTAAGTTATTCATTTGGTTTTATTTTATAACAAGTGACTTTAATTATTGATTTTATATCACTTCCAAGTGACCTATAGCTAATTTACGTTATTTCGAAAAGTTATGATTTGACAGCGTGATATTCATGTACAGTTAATTACAGGGCTGAATATAGCGTGCCACCGACCCGTGGCTTATAATTTACAACTTTGGACTTTTATCTGCTTCAATCTCACAATGATAGAGGGGTGACCACGGAAAGATCGATATTTTAGTCAAAATAAGTATACAAAGATGTTTTTAACACATTACTAGGCAAATGAATGATAAACCAACAATGACAAAATTAATTTATTATTCATAACGGATAAACCATCCAATTACGCAGTGAAGCTAAAGAAAGATACAGAGGCTTTGCAGAAGCATTTACACATCATCTAAAGTGAGGCCGATTATTTTGCTTAATATGTTATCCGACATCTTAAAAGTAACAAATTGTATAATTATGTGTATTATACATAAAGTAATGTGCTTTTTAAAGTAACTTATCAACATAGTAACGGACAAAAATTCCTATACCTTTAATAATTAAAGGCATTTTTCCACACTAAGGTATTTGTTAAAATATCTATAGGCTAAAAGGATTACTTTATTGGAAGAAACATTTTTTTACTGTTTTACACCTCAACTATCATTTGTTGAATATGATTTCCTTCTATTTATTTTAATCAATTTTTGACACAGTTTAGTTTCAATAATTTAGTAGTTACAGGTGTCATAGCATGTATAATGTAGCGTTGAAGGAATGATTATATACCTTATTTTAGGCTTATTATATTTTTACGCTTAATGTTTTCACTTTATCAATAACATTACATTTAATAAAATTTGACAAGTAATAGCTACATTTAGGCCTATGTATGCATTTTAAAAGTTCATAATGCCCAAAGAAATGTTAATTTGTTATATAGGTAATGCTGGCAGTTTTACCAGACGTATAATAAACAATTAGAAAACACAGAAGTACTGAAATTATTTGTGTTTAATATAGATTTTGGATATAAAGTATTTTTATTTAGACTATTTATTCAATAATTTTCCCCATTCATTGATTATTTAAATATTTAATGATTATTACAATTTTTAATTTTCATGCCATAAATATTCAATGATTGAATTTATACTTTTTTCAATGCAGTTAGTTGCAGCCTACTTGGTTTTTAATATTAGATATTTTGTCCCTTAATAATAGTAGGATTGTAATACTTACTGACAGTATATTTAATGGACTTTGGAGATTAATTTGGGGACATTAAATGAACATATTGAATCCGGACTTCTTAAATATTTTATAAAGCTTTGTATGGACTTAAATGCATTATGTTTTAAAATGTTACTGTACCTCCTACTAAATAATGTTTTGTAAAGTATAGCAATAGTGGGCTGCTTAGTACTTTCAATGAAATTCGTCATTGTATTAAAAAAACCTATTTATATACAAGATCATTGACTCATTAAACCACTTACAAATCTACTCTAACTAAGCTAAGAGCAAGTACATATTTATATATTTTACAGTTATTATTTACAGCTTTATTAAGTCTTTAAGATTCGCCATTGTAAAATGTTAACCAGTTAAATAGATCAATAGCTTTTGCATATTTTAGCTGAAACCAATCATTACTTTTAGTACAAAGGGAACCAATTTACATAAGCTACGTAACAAGTTCTAATCACGTGACCAGTAGAAAGAATGACGTCACCATGAGCAGAAATGTCACACTCGACCTTGTAGTGCTGGAGACTCCTTTCACTAAAACATAAAGTGTCATTAAGAATAATACTATATGGGTAAACAAATAGTTCATTAAAGCTGTATGGAGTTACATAATAAATTATGTTTTATGTAAATTATGATGTGTTTTAAAGCAAAGATACAGGAATAGTATAATTTAATACTACTACTATTGAGGTAAATACTAATACCTATTATAAAGTAATATATTAAAGTACAATATATTAATTAATTTAAGTACAATATATAATTAAAGTACAATATATTAATTTTAGAAATTGTAAGCGCTAATAAATGGTTGTCAATATCATTGAAAGTTTTAGAGTTTACGACCCTACACACAATATAGTTTCTTATGGTTTTATATTCGACTCTAAGAATTATTTTTAGGAGTCCTTGGACCCTAGATGTTTTAACTCGTAAAACCTTTAAGAAACTACAAAGAAAATTTTTAAACCCAGAGTGCCCTAGCTGTTTAAATCATAATGACTTTGGTATTGAAAAATATGTTGAGACGATAAATAACTCTTCAGCAGATGTTTGAAGTTATCAAAACTAATATTGTTCTTTAGGTTGGCAAATCCAAGATAAGTTTAGCCCCCATGGACTCCCATAAACTACAAAGAAAATGTTTAATCACATACTGCCCTAGATATTCAAATTGCAATCACTTTGGTGGTACTACAAAATATTTTGGGGTGATAAAGAGCTCTTAGAAGCTGTTTTAACTTATTCCAAGAAAGCCGCTAGCCTACAAGGACTCTATACTAGACTGCCAAATAACTTGTAGCAACTGATTTCATTTGAAATAGTTTGTAATTTACGCAACCTTATTGATTGGGTTATTTAAATACTATATACAACATGACACACAGTGTAACACATTTTAACTATCGTGAGGCAAACTTTTTTTTAGTTTTGAATAGTAACAAATAAAAAGCATAAGGCAAAAACGTTAAAATTGTTAGTGTTCAAGCAAATGAATTATGAAGACCAATTAATATTAGTTCAAAAGACCAACTTAACTCAAAACCTACCGAAAAACAGAGCCTCCCTGTTGTAGTCCAGAGCTGGCGGAGGCCCGGAGGCGGATAGACGCTGATGTTGTAGCACGGGGGCGGGTGCCGGGACCGTGGGGGTGGCGGTGGAGGTGGAGATGGTCGCTACACACCTGACCTGGAGGCGGCCCTTGTGGAAGTGTTCAGGTCCCACCTGGAACCTCAGACCTGCGGTGGAAGTCATCAGCCCGTGCTGCTGCACTACCGCCTCGTAGTCTGGCCCCACCTGAAGACATAGGATGACAAGCTTAACACGTAATAGAAGGACAGAATAATTGGGTCGTGTTTAAGTTTAAATTTCAGACTCAAATAGGTTCAATCTTTTATAGTCGGCTAACTCTATCAAGAATTATTTCTTTGCTAAAGAGTGTATTGTGGTAAATGGGAGAATTTAATTTGGAAACTTAACCGTTCGGATCTACTAATTACAATGTTAAAATCAATGGATCATGTTTTGATGAAAGGTTTCTTGGGCTTTTATTATATTTTATCCCAAACGTGCGGTTAAGGGGGTTGACACAACTTTATAACGCTGCTGTTATGTAATATCAGAACACTTTATCAGTACTTTATTTCTGAAATATATGACAAATATCCAAGTGTAAAGCCAATTTCTCAATTTACATAGTATTTTTATAATATATTTTAAAACTTGTGATTGTGATTCTGCATTATTATCTAAGTCTAAAAAATTACGAAGTTTTTTTATTAGCTAAAGAATTTTAGTAAAACATAATGTTATTATTAAATATACTGAAAATGTACAACATTTGGTCTTCAAATCGATTGTACAACATTAAATATTTGGCCTATGCTTGATTTATACCGTAAGTCCTTTACGGTAAATGCATGGACAAGATGTTTTATATACAAGATACTAAAGCTAAATCTCCAACACAAATCCCCAACGTGGTGTCCTATATTTATTCTACAAACTATCTCCAGGCTTAGCAAACTTTAACGAATAATTTGTTAACTAAGTCCTCTGAACATTTTAAGGAAATAATGACCCATCTTTTTAGTGTGGAAGATATAATTTCTTATACAAATCCAACTCAACTTTTGTCCGTAACCAAAGTTGTTATGAGGCATATACTAAGCGTACTATTTTCCTTATTAGGATTCAGCAACCGTTCAAAGTGTTTGGTGTACATATAGATTTTTCTGTTTATATTTAATAACATTGTAACTGTTTAAAAAAATATCATAGTTTCGGATATTAAATAATAGCTCTTAAGTAAAAAAGAAATTACAAAATTTTAATAAAATAAACCCATTTAGTTTGACAAAACGTGTGCGAGTTAAAGTTAACCAGCACAAACCTGAGACTCTTTTTTCTTCCTCATAATATATGAGAATAATTATAGTAATTTTTAAACAGGTAATTGTTTTACATTTTTATAAGAAAATAAAGTTGTTTTTTCATACCTTGGAAATAATGATTACTGGTGGGTATACTAAGAGTGTGGTGAGTAAAAAAGCGCAGAAATAATGTTATTTTGAAACAAAAACACTTGTTTAAAACGAAAACCAAATAGTTGAACTAACCACTCACCAGCTCGTCGTTGACATACCAGCGCAGTCTAGCAGGAGGAAACGACTTGGCAGAAGTACAGTTAAGGTTGATCTCGTCTCCGATTTGGTAGTTGCGCTCTTCTCCTGTGATCTCAGGGCCGTCCTGGGGCAGAGCTGTGGGAAATACATTAAATACAATAGTAAATATATGAAATAGATACAGCATAGGAACAAAACAAGTCAATGTTATTGTATTAACAAATTTTTAAAATTAGTAGTTTTGAAAGAGTTTAGAAGTTTCTGAAGTGATTACAAAGTTAGGAAAATGTACTTGTCAACCCTTTTTTGACTAGACATTGTGTACAGAACATTGTTTAAATTGTAGAACTAAGTAACAATGGCCAATCAAAAATAAGAAAAATTATCTCTACAACATTATACTTAAGTTCAATCTACATTTCGGAATATACTACCTTTAATGTAGATAAATTTACCATGGGAAGGCTGTAAATTATCCCAGAATCTAATTGACAAAATGAGAAATATTATTTGAGATTATTGACAAAACTAAAACCTAAGAACGCGTAGAAATATGGAACCTGTTTTCTGTTGTTGGAAATGTAAATGTCCATCAAGTGGTTCAATGATAATTGGCCAAAAAAAGATTTTTTTTTTATAAAGATGTGTGGGTGTGTATATAAAACTACGAGGAACTTCTAAAATATCTATAAATAATGCTAATAAGGATCAAAAACGTTTGAGAAAACCGCAAGCCGCACATCCATCAACCACATACTTTAACACATACGAAAAATATAATTCAATATTTCATTCTAGTTAATTGTACACAAAAATCAATAAACATAGTATTTTCTATAAATCCTCACCTAAAGGCACAAACTTCAATTGAAGGCCTGCATTTGATCATAATTAAAATACTGAAGATGAATCAGCTGTTAGATTTGTTTTTATTTATAGATTCATTGATTACTTTTCCCCGACTTAATCTTTCGATTCTCATAATAGATGTTTTAAATAATATATAATAGAAGTTATTAGTTTTGATCCTTAATGCTTAATGCAAATACACGAGAAATTTGTATAAAAATAAGCAATTAATATGATTGAGATTCACCTGTATAATTTTCACGTTAAATGTGTGTAATTTTGCTTAAAATACATTTATAGACCCAAGTTATTCTCTTATGTATCCTTGCCAGGTATCAAAGCACGCGCACATCAACTATCCTATGTTATCCTAAACCTCTAGCTTTTGCTGGACAAACATAATCACGTGTCGTCATGTTGAGGCAAAGTGTTTAGGGGAAGTGTTTCATCAGCCTAACACATGTTCAATGTCATGTTCCTCATGTCAGTTTGCATATCATGCATACATGCATGCACAGTTGAGCGTGTTCTCAGTAGGTAATTAAATCTGTTTGCATGTTTTACTTATTCCAACACTAACTTAAAACGGCAAGATTGTGTTCGATACTGAACGAACAGCCATTGTATAGACATTTCTTGTAAAAGTGATTTAATATCCACCCCAGCAAAGTACATATTTAACAAAAACTCAAAGGGAAAATAATAATTAATGGATAAATAATCTTCCTCCATGGAGCATATTTGGAGGAAATTAATTCCAGTAAAGGGTCAAAGTTGTTTTGCTCATTTTATTCAAATTTGTTGTTGTAATTTAATGATTTAGAGAATAAATTAGGTAGTAATAGTTAACATTATGTTAATACACTTAAAATATAGTTCCAAGCCGAAAACAACTAAGATTCGCCAACTAAGCCTCTAGGTAATGCTATTTGAAAAGAGTTAAGCTAATGATAATATGAAAGATCAAAAGTTTCATCGGTAGCAATAATAAGGCATATGCATAATTGCTCCTATAATTTACTATTTGATGGTCCTGGCAGTTAGTCAAATAGATATTGTATGCGGCTAAATTCTAATAAAATTTTGTTGTTTTTTTTTAGTTAAACAAATACAAAACAAATCCCACTTACCTACTACATTCATCCTGGACTCGCCATGCACTGAGGAGAATGCTGGGGCTTCTGCAGACACTTCACATCTGTACATACCACTGGACCTCAGGGGCACGTTCCTTATAACTACCTTCTGGGCATCCGACTTGTGGTGCTGTAATAAAAAAGTTCTTAAATATATGCACAAAATTGAAATACAACATTATGCATAACATGTTAAGGCTTGTAATGTAGAATAAAAGATTACTATAAACAATTTCTTATTTTATGCGGAAGTAATTCCTTGAATTCGTAGAAGAGATGAATTTATGTTTGAAGTTCACTTTTATATTGGTAGGTTTCATTTTAATATGCAACTAAAAAAAAATTGATCTTAAAATAACACAGAAAAAAATAAAACTAGATTTTAATTACATTTGCCCTCTCTAACAGCAAGACAGTTATTTAACATACGATATATATTTTATTTTATGGCCACCCGTTGAACCTAATTTTCAAAGCTCAAAAAAACCATTCGAGAAAGATAAAAACCCGTAATCAGACAAATTGGACTGACAAAAAAAAACCAAAACTACGACTTAATTCTTGTGAAAGCCTCAAATACTTGTAAAATTTATTAGTATCATAAAACGTAATGTGTTAAACTGTTTGTGTTATTCCAGATTCATAAATTTGAATTATATCCCCAAGACCCCCCCCCCTAGAGATTCCACACAAGATGGCAAAATGTACATAGAGATCAGTCAGAAAAGGTTATTTTGTTAAATGTTAGTATACTCTTAACAGGATCTCCTCAACTCGTCATTATTGTAAAACCATTTTTGTTGTTAGTTTCTAATTTGTTAAAAATACCAAATAAATATATTTTCCTACAATGCATTGTACGAGTTTAAAACTTCCCTGCCACAGTATCTATTACTTACATCGACATTTATTCCGTCTATATAGTACGTGTGTTGGGGAGGATTGCCTCTCGGAACGTATCTGTAGAACTCATCATGGTCCTTGTACCAGGACACAGAGTATAGTCTGTCTCCTTGAAGATCAAACTCACAGAGCAACTCCACAGGGTCTCCTCTCAGAGTGTACTGTGGCACTGACACTCGCACCATCTTGAGACTTATACCTCCTGTAACATTGAACGTATCTGTAGAACTCATCATGGCCCTTGTCCCAGGACACAGAGTATAGTCTGTCTCCTTGAAGATCAAACTCACAGAGCAACTCCACAGGGTCTCCTCTCAGAGTGTACTGTGGCACTGACACTCGCACCATCTTGAGACTTATACCTCCTGTAACATTGAACGTATCTGTAGAACTCATCATGGTCCTTGTACCAGGACACAGAGTATAGTCTGTCTCCTTGAAGATCAAACTCACAGAGCAACTCCACAGGGTCTCCTCTCAGAGTGTACTGTGGCACTGACACTCGCACCATCTTGAGACTTATACCTCCTGTAACATTGAACGTATCTGTAGAACTCATCATGGTCCTTGTACCAAGACACAGAGTATAGTCTGTCTCCTTGAAGATCAAACTCACAGAGCAACTCCACAGGGTCTCCTCTCAGAGTGTACTGCGGCACTGATACTCGTACCATCTTGAGACTTATACCTCCTGTAACATTGAACGTATCTGTAGAACTCATCATGGTCCTTGTACCAGGACACAGAGTATAGTCTGTCTCCTTGAAGATCAAACTCACAGAGCAACTCCACAGGGTCTCCTCTCAGAGTGTACTGTGGCACTGACACTCGCACCATCTTGAGACTTATACCTCCTGTAACATTGAACGTATCTGTAGAACTCATCATGGTCCTTGTACCAGGACACAGAGTATAGTCTGTCTCCTTGAAGATCAAACTCACAGAGCAACTCCACAGGGTCTCCTCTCAGAGTGTACTGCGGGACCGACACTCGCACCATCTTGAGACTTATACCTCCTGTAACATTGAACGTATCTGTAGAACTCATCATGGTCCTTGTACCAGGACACAGAGTATAGTCTGTCTCCTTGAAGATCAAACTCACAGAGCAACTCCACAGGGTCTCCTCTCAGAGTGTACTGTGGCACTGACACTCGCACCATCTTGAGACTTATACCTCCTGTAACATTGAACGTATCTGTAGAACTCATCATGGTCCTTGTACCAGGACACAGAGTATAGTCTGTCTCCTTGAAGATCAAACTCACAGAGCAACTCCACAGGGTCTCCTCTCAGAGTGTACTGTGGCACCGACACTCGTAATATCTTGAGACTTAAACCTCCTGTAACATTGAACGTATCTGTAGAACTCATCATGGTCCTTGTACCAGGACACAGAGTATAGTCTGTCTCCTTGAAGATCACTTAAACCTCCTGTAACATTGAACGTATCTGTAGAACTCATCATGGTCCTTGTACCAGGACACAGAGTATAGTCTGTCTCCTTGAAGATCAAACTCACAGAGCAACTCCACAGGGTCTCCTCTCAGAGTGTACTGTGGCACCGACACTCGGACCATCTTGAGACTTATACCTCCTGTAACATTGAACGTATCTGTAGAACTCATCATGGTCCTTGTACCAGGACACAGAGTATAGTCTGTCTCCTTGAAGATCAAACTCACAGAGCAACTCCACAGGGTCTCCTCTCAGAGTGTACTGTGGCACTGACACTCGTACCATCTTGAGACTTATACCTCCTGTAACATTGAACGTATCTGTAGAACTCATCATGGTCCTTGTCCCAGGACACAGAGTATAGTCTGTCTCCTTGAAGATCAAACTCACAGAGCAACTCCACAGGGTCTCCTCTCAGAGTGTACTGTGGCACCGACACTCGTACCATCTTGAGACTTATACCTCCTGTAACATTGAACGTATCTGTAGAACTCATCATGGTCCTTGTACCAGGACACAGAGTATAGTCTGTCTCCTTGAAGATCAAACTCACAGAGCAACTCCACAGGGTCTCCTCTCAGAGTGTACTGCGTCACTGACACTCGTACCATCTTGAGACTTATACCTCCTGTAACATTGAACGTATCTGTATAACTCATCATGGTCCTTGTACCAGGACACAGAGTATAGTCTGTCTCCTTGAAGATCAAACTCACAGAGCAACTCCACAGGGTCTCCTCTCAGAGTGTACTGTGGCACTGACACTCGCACCATCTTGAGACTTATACCTCCTGTAACATTGAACGTATCTGTAGAACTCATCATGGTCCTTGTACCAGGACACAGAGTATAGTCTGTCTCCTTGAAGATCAAACTCACAGAGCAACTCCACAGGGTCTCCTCTCAGACTGTACTGCGGCACTGACACTCGCACCATCTTGAGACTTATACCTCCTGTAACATTGAACGTATCTGTAGAACTCATCATGGTCCTTGTACCAGGACACAGAGTATAGTCTGTCTCCTTGAAGATCAAACTCACAGAGCAACTCCACAGGGTCTCCTCTCAGACTGTACTGCGGCACTGACACTCGCACCATCTTGAGACTTATACCTCCTGTAACATTGAACGTATCTGTAGAACTTATCATGGTCCTTGTACCAGGACACAGAGTATAGTCTGTCTCCTTGAAGATCAAACTCACAGAGCAACTCCACAGGGTCTCCTCTCAGACTGTACTGCGGCACTGACACTCGCACCATCTTGAGACTTATACCTCCTGTAACATTGAACGTATCTGTAGAACTTATCATGGTCCTTGTACCAGGACACAGAGTATAGTCTGTCTCCTTGAAGATCAAACTCACAGAGCAACTCCACAGGGTCTCCTCTCAGAGTGTACTGTGGCACTGACACTCGCACCATCTTGAGACTTATACCTCCTGTAACATTGAACGTATCTGTAGAACTCATCATGGTCCTTGTACCAGGACACAGAGTATAGTCTGTCTCCTTGAAGATCAAACTCACAGAGCAACTCCACAGGGTCTCCTCTCAGAGTGTACTGTGGCACTGACACTCGCACCATCTTGAGACTTATACCTCCTGTAACATTGAACGTATCTGTAGAACTCATCATGGTCCTTGTACCAGGACACAGAGTATAGTCTGTCTCCTTGAAGATCAAACTCACAGAGCAACTCCACAGGGTCTCCTCTCAGAGTGTACTGTGGCACTGACACTCGCACCATCTTGAGACTTATACCTCCTGTAACATTGAACGTATCTGTAGAACTCATCATGGTCCTTGTACCAGGACACAGAGTATAGTCTGTCTCCTTGAAGATCAAACTCACAGAGCAACTCCACAGGGTCTCCTCTCAGAGTGTACTGTGGCACCGACACTCGTACCATCTTGAGACTTATACCTCCTGTAACATTGAACGTATCTGTAGAACTCATCATGGTCCTTGTACCAGGACACAGAGTATAGTCTGTCTCCTTGAAGATCAAACTCACAGAGCAACTCCACAGGGTCTCCTCTCAGAGTGTACTGTGGCACCGACACTCGTACCATCTTGAGACTTATACCTCCTGTAACATTGAACGTATCTGTAGAACTCATCATGGTCCTTGTACCAGGACACAGAGTATAGTCTGTCTCCTTGAAGATCAAACTCACAGAGCAACTCCACAGGGTCTCCTCTCAGAGTGTACTGCGGCACTGACACTCGCACCATCTTGAGACTTATACCTCCTGTAACATTGAACGTATCTGTAGAACTCATCATGGTCCTTGTACCAGGACACAGAGTATAGTCTGTCTCCTTGAAGATCAAACTCACAGAGCAACTCCACAGGGTCTCCTCTCAGAGTGTACTGTGGCACTGACACTCGTACCATCTTGAGACTTATACCTCCTGTAACATTGAACGTATCTGTAGAACTCATCATGGTCCTTGTACCAGGACACAGAGTATAGTCTGTCTCCTTGAAGATCAAACTCACAGAGCAACTCCACAGGGTCTCCTCTCAGAGTGTACTGTGGCACCGACACTCGCACCATCTTGAGACTTATACCTCCTGTAACATTGAAACATGGCAAAGTTGTTTGACCCTTTTCCATGAATCTATGAATATACGTTATTAGACCAAAAACTGCTGATTCCTAACTCGTATTTCATTCATGATTTGGTCAAAGTTTACCTTTCTAGCTTTATCATTTTACATTGAAATTAGACTTATAACTACATATGTCATCGTATACAATATTACTGATGGTTTTATAAGCTTGAGACTCATAACTCCTGTGATATTCTCACTATTGCATTGTAATACACTCTTTGAATGAATCGCAGTGTGTATACTACCTTTTTACCAACACTTAAAAAAGGAATCGTTATATTTCCTGTAACATACAAATTGAAAATGGATTACTGTAAACACATACACTGTCATACACATATTGTTGCTACAATTATATATTTTAAAATTAGACCTATTTACTACTCTTTAATATTCTCTACAAGTAAAAGTCTGTTTCAGTTTACAATACGTTTTTATACTTCCAACTCTTTGCGACTTATACTAATAGAAATTGTATTCACACCTCGTTTAGAGTGTACTGATGTTACGCAACACTTAAATTGAACTAACAGTCTACACTAAAAGTACAGTATCTCGGAGTATTATTAATGAGCAGTGAATAAAATGTATCGACGAATGACTTTTATTGAGGTGAGAAGACTGATGTTTTTAATTACAACTTTACTCGCATGTGAGCTAGACTTCATTGTCATTTTTTATAAAGATCTGCGCAAACTTCAAGAAATGAAAACGTATACTTAAGTTAGTAACTAAAATTCTTAAAACTAAATTATATTATTTTCAAGAGTGGTTAGCCTCCGGATTACGTATGAATATTTATAATGATTTAAATGCCTGCGTTCAGAAGATGGTTCCTTGTGAACTGAAACCATAGTTGCCACAAGCAGCATTTTGGATTACTAAATGCAGGTATTTAAACCATTATATTAGTTTAGTCCCTATTTAACATTTCATACAGAGGAATGTATTATGTGCAAAACCTAAACTGTAATAAATCAAACGGTACATAACTTGTGTACAAAATTGTCAAATATCATTCATGCAATGCAACGTTAGACCAATCCAAGCTAACATCTGGATGATTAAAGTCAGAATTGTTTTGCCCGACCGACGCAGAAAGCACCGTAAAGTTTTTACGACGACAAACAAATGTAAAATTGACGCCTCAACCCTCCAGAGCCACGGTAATATACGCGTCTTAAAATTGTGAATGCAAAATTAATCCCATCTTGTTTTCCGTAGTTACAAAACATGGCAATGAATTACAAAAACATTAATTAAACAACAGTTGCAGTTAATTAATTAAAATATTTACTTTAAACCTGTATATACA